TCTATTCATCTTTGTATTTTATACTTAAAATAGAGTAATTTAAACTCTAGAAACTTAAGAGAATTTGTAATCACTTTTGTAAGGAGATGAGTTAATTGCTCTTATAAGTATACATGATTACAATAATAAATTACTCAGAGTATTTTACGTATTGAACTCACAAAAAAATTGTGTTCTTACTAATTTTATTGGATCCTAGTCTCTGGTCTCTTATGATTAGATCAGTAGGGATATTTTTCATATGATATCAATGAATTAACAGAGGTTGTAGTTGTGATTTTGCATTGATATTTAGACAAGTCATTTAGGAGGATAGGCCCTTTGGGGTGGGTGAATGAAAAACCATCCTACTAGTGTCCTGTGCTTTTCCTATTTGGTGTGTTGCGCTTGAATGTGACTTTTGAGCTAGAGGTTCCAGAAGCAATGGAATCTTCTTGTTATAGTATTCTAGTTTGTGCTTTCCTTTTCTGTTTAGTTTGCTGTCTTGTTTCTTTTCCACGTGGTTGCTTCTTTTTTTCCCCCTTTCCACCTAAACACATATATGTGATTGTTTATTTCGCGCTTTGTTATCTTTATACTATGCTAATATTAATTAATAGTTCGAAGACAATAAATTAAATAAATTATTTGATGAGAATATAAAGAATGAAAAAAATAAAGTAAAAAAATAATAATGATGAAAACACAGCTATTTGAAATGTTGAGATTTAGAATTCACCTTATATGTTGCTAATTTTACTCTTTGAGTTGACTCTTTAATCAATTATAATAACAATTATTTTTAAAATGTCTTAATATTCTCTCGAATTATCAATCTTTTTTTAATTAGTGTTAAATTTGTTCCTGCATTACTCAAACAATTAATTAAACAGTAAAACTATAGTTTAGGTCATCACAAATTTTTAAAAGGAAGAATTTCATTTAAGGACTTAAGAAGAGATTTAATTTCAGGTGGGTCCAAAAAACATTCTAAAATTTTAATTCAATTCAAGAAAGAAAAGTTAAAAAAATTTTGATAATAAAAAGATTAAAATGCCTTTCATGTATTATGCAGAATAACTTGTTATTAATTTTTTTATTATAATTATTATTTTTCCAATATTCCTTCTAAATTACATTCATTTGTAAGAAAGAGAGGTTCAAACCAGCTTGCACGCTACAGTTGGCCTTCAATTCATATTAAATCAGAAAATGACCTATTAAACCTGATAGATATGGAGCCCACCAGCACCAAACCCATATTATTAAATGAGATAAAGACATTCAAACTTGTTAATACCAAGCCATTTTAATATAAATGCACAAATAATTTAATCTTTTTAATCTTTAATTGTATCTTAAACCTGAACTATATAGGATTTATTAATATTGATTAATCATTTATGATTGAAGTTTCCTTCTCAAACACTCGTAGTCTCTTCAAATTCATTACTACACTTTAGTTCTTTCTCTAACGTGACCGAATGAATGCATGAATTAAACTTAAATAATTATCTTGATATTTAAATTTTGAATTAGAAAAACAATGCACAAATAATTTAATCATTTTAATCTTTAATTGCATCTTGAACAACTTTCGCATAATGCAATTAAATTGAAATTCTGTTCCAAAACTCCTTTCCAGGGTCCTCATGAGCTATTGCATCCAAAATCTATCATACTTTAATTATTTTGCAAATCAACCACGAAATAATGCATTGATTAACCTTAATTACTGTAAATTCAATCATGCTAGTTTTGCATGCTTCTTCAACTACAAACATTATAATTAGAGTTCATGTTATTTATTTTCGGCTTTAGGCAATATATGGAAAAGATATTACTCATTCCTGTTGAAATATTTGTGGATTTGTATTAATCAATTATAAATTCTAGCGATGTATTATTGTGAATATTAAGTAATCTTTATATTATATTGAGCATTCATTTTGAAATAAATTGAAATATTTAATTTAAATGTATTGAAAAGGGCTCCAATTCACAGTACATACATACACATACATATATTCTCTCTATTTAAGAATATAAAGTATCTTTTAAAAGGTTGGATGTTTAAAAATATAAGATATTTTAAATTTTTTAAAGTGTAATTATTTTCTTTTTTTAAAATATCTCTATTGATGATGACTTTATATTTATTATAAAAAATTTAAAAAAATAAATATAAAAAAATAAAATTAATTTAAAAATAATTAATTATTTTATTGAGGGATGAGATTTCACAGAAAGAGAATATATGATTAGTTATCCTAGTGGTACATCCATCACGTGAACCAATTATAAAATATATATGTATATATATATATCACACATGTATAATTAGTTATCCGAGAGGTACATCCATCACGTGAACTGATTATAAAAATAATATCACGGAACAGGAGGGGCATTAAAGCTCATGAAAGCGACCTAATAATTTAAAATTAAATAGATGGTTTATCGTTAACAAACATAACCTTCAATAATAAAAGAAGTGCAAGCTAAGGAAATTACCAGAATAAAGTGTTTTTTATAACCAGCAACCATTGAAGTTGCTGGTAGGGAAAAAACACAGAAAATACTCGCTCCTTGCCCAGTGAAAAGCAGTTAAAATCTTAAATGTCCTCATTAATGGCTTCAATGTAAAACCCAAAATATATATCTTACACGTAATTAATCATTAATTAATGGCTTCGTTAAGCAAATGGTTTCTTGCAACACCCCCACACTCCTTAACCTCACAAGTTCGTTCCTTTCGAATCGGTTTCGTGATTTCGTCTCTTTGTAAATCTCCCCTCACATTTCTCACTCTCCATGTCTCCATCACAATGCTTTACAATCAAACACTCACAGAATCGTACGTCTTCTTCTTCGTCCTCACCATGGTGTGTGGCGAGTCTGGAATCCCACCAACCTGATCTGGATTGGAGGGTTAATGGAGGTCGAGAGGATTAACCAACCTGGTCGGTTTACAGATTTTGAGCTTGCATGCATCAATTGTTAGGTGCATGTTATTCTTTGAAGTATGGTAAACATGTTGGTAGCCATAGAGTATTTTTCCGTCAGCTACTTTGTTCAAATCTAAAGCCCAAAGTTTCAAATCTAATGGCAACAATTAGGAGAAGAACCCAACAAAGATAAATGCTCGTAGTCATCAAGCAAGGCATGCTCGATATTTGAGAAGAGCTTATCTCTCCTCCTTTATGCAGCAGGCATTTGCATATTCAATTTTCAAATGCATCATCATAATTATCAATGCTTTTAGCACCTTCTGAAAATTTACATCAATCCAACTCATTCTTATGTTTGTAAGATCAACTTAAGAAATGGCATAAACTTTATAAGAAAAGCAACATTCATGCCAAAAAATTCTTATTTATAAGTCATAATATAAGCCTTCTCATTTATAAGCCTCGATCATAAGGAAAGCAATGTCTTGCGTTAAAAAGACAAGTAAGAGTGGCTTTTAATTTAAAACAAATTTTTGAGAATAGGGAGGGGTTGGCATTAGAAGAAGAATCCCTTATTGTTAAGTTATTTACACTAATTGAAAAATTCTGATTGAACAAGAAGAACAAAATAAATAAATGATTTCCCATTATATTTTGATGTATAGGCATGGATTTTTTCTAGAAAGTGTCAATTAGCTTAGCCCTCACTCCCTCTCACACGTTTACTGCTTTTCTCACGAATATCGGGATGATTAACACAAAAGCTCATTATTTGATGCCAACGGTATTGGAATTAAATAATTGAAATGATATTTTAAATATTTAAAGTTTCAAATTAAAAATTTATATAAAATTAAAAAACTAAATATATATACTTTTCTTAAAAATAAATAATAATCAAATGTACTTTTTTTAAAAAAATTGACCTTGAAATTAAGAAATGTGTACTATGATAATAAATCATAATAGTGAAACAAAAATTAGCCCAAAAAATGGGCAATGGCTCAAACACCAAATTTTTTTAAGGGTTTCATCTTGTAAAATATTTACCACTTTGTCATACACATACTAAATGGACTTGAAAAAAAAAAACTCATTAGGACACAATGTTTTCAAAAAAAAAATTCATCAAGTTAATAAAAATTTAGCTCATAATGTATAACGTTATGGGTTCAAATTTTATTATCCATGTAAGGTTCTTGTTTGTAGATAATGTGTAAATATTTTTAAAAACGTGATTTGAACTTGAAAATATACCTTAATCTTAGTGAGTTTAAGAGAAACAACTTATATTGACATCTTCTTTTTTTATTAAAAAAAGGAACTTCTCTAAAAAAGAAAGAAACAAAAAAGAAGGGGGAATTAAGATTAAGATGGATGAAAAAAAGGAGTGCAACTACAAACAACCCAACTAAACACCTGATACCCTTGACTGTGTCCACCGTTTTCCAAATATTTTCTCTCACTACCCATTCCTTCAGCCCCTCCCTCCAATTAATTCTATTCCTTTTGTTTTATTTTTTAATATACTAGTGGCAGGCTAATTAGTTTGATCCTTCCTTCTCAATTAATTTCGTTCCTTCGGTCCCTTTTGTCCTCTAATTAATTCCAATTAATTTTAATATTCATCTTATTAACGTAAATAACAAGAATATTCTTCTTTTCTCCTTTTCCATTTTCTAATGATTTTCATATTTTTCTTCCAATTACCATCTCCTTTTGTCCTCTAATTAATTTCAATTAATTCTAATATTTTTCATACTAACCTAAATAAGAAGAATATTCTCCTTTTTTGTATTCCAATTAATTCCATATTCTTCTTCCCAATTACCACCTCCTTTTGTCCTCAAATTAATCCCAATATTCTTCTTATTAAACCAAATAAAAAGAATGTTCTCCTTTTCTCAATTACTACCTACTTTTATCCTCTCCTCCTCTCTCTTTCTAGCGCCTTTTTCAAAATCACATTACATTGCATCTTATGCTTCTTCACTTTGATTACTACTTCTTTTTTCTTCTATAGCCTAAACTATGGCTTATAAATAAGGATCCAACCTGTGCAACTGTCACGCCCCAAAATGGAGGGTGACCGGCACGGGTGTGAACCATTCTCACCTTCCCGTAAGCCTCCAAATGAATATTTATTTCATTTTTCAAGAGAAGAATAAAATTCAATCAAATCATATAAAAATTAAAATAACTTCTTTAAATTCATTGTCATAAGAAAGTGTCAACGTTTTTGTAGAAATTTCGGCAGAACCTCCCCTGTAACTAGGATCTCCTGAAAATTCTACAATAAAAATTTTACAAATATCAGTATAAATCAGGAGCGTAGCTCCTTCCAGCCAACAACCAATATACAGACCAAAAATAAAATTTATCAACAATCTATGTGGAGCATCTGCTATTTCTTTCAGATCAAAAAGACATACAATTTATGTATTTACATTAAAGCAACAATACCAATCAAAATGTCCACCCACTGTAGTTAGTTGCCCTTTTTGAGGTCGTTGATGAAATCGGCGTCAGCTAACCAATCTGAGACCAAATAATTTTTCCAGTGAATAGCATTCCCATGGAAAAATTCTTAAAATTTCAATCGACAATTTATAATAAGGGTGTCAGATGGTTGGAAGTAATTCTACCAAGATTTATAATGTACGTGAGGCATAATCATATTTATAAAATAAGAATAAGTTGAAAACATTTTATGTTATCATGTTTAAAGAAACAATCTGCTCTCATAAAACTCGAAGTGATACAATTTACTAAAAAAAAATTGGGTAAACTTCGAAAACATATATTAATCAACATTTAAAATTCTGAGAACTCAACAGAACAGGTTACAAACGTGGACACATAGTCCACGAGGGTAAATAACCAAACGCGGCTTATGCCACGAAAACAAACATGGACACACCAGTCTACAAGGGTAAGTAACCAAACGCAGCCGAAGCTACAAAACAAACGTGGACACACAGCCCACGAGGGTAAGTAACCAAACGCGGCTTATGCCACGAAATCAAACGCGGGTACGAAGCCCACGAATACCAAACGTGAGAATAAAACTCACGAAACAAACTAGCTAGTATTTAACCACAGCGCGCTACGGACTAACGGAACTGCCGTTAGTAGCAGTGTTCTGTATAGAGTTCTCTTAGAAAGCCCGTTTCAAACATGCGAGAGAAATAATTACTTGTGAAGTCAAATTTTCATTCTCAAGATCAAACTCGCATGAGTTGCTTCAAATATATGAAACTTGTCAAATCGATACACCATAACGAATGTACAAACTTGCGTTAATCATGTAATCAAGAAATTTTGAAATTCAATAGGCAAAGGTGCCTTCATCAATATAAAAAAAATATATTTCTTGAGAAAATACACAAATCATAATATGACTATTCTTCATCATTATTTCAAAATTTCTAAAACTAACATAATTCATAAAAATGAAATATTTTAATAAAAGATTTTCAATAAATACTCATAAGGAATGCTATTCACTTACCTGTTGTGATTTCAAATCTCCAAAATATTATTTATTTAATTTCTATCGGGATCCTCTTCCTCCACGCGTCCTATAAAGATATTAATAGCCAAAATTTAATAAATCATCTTTTAATTTACAAAGGCTTCCTTCCCAATTCCACCTTTTACCAATATCCAGTTATTTCCAATTGAGAATTGAATCCACACTATCATTATTTAAAATTCAAAAATTAAATCTATAATTTAAAGTTACTCCAAGTATTATTATTTACCCTTATGACTTTCTCCATAAAATTTTAGTCATGCCATTCTATTTCCCTGAGGTGAAAATTTTCTTTTTATACTTTGCACCAATTTTTTTTTTTTCAATTTTGTTCTTCTCTTTCAACTTCATCCTAATCAAATTCTCAATATCAACCAATCTAACAAAACTTAATTTAGATTAGAATCCAGACCCATATATATATATCGTTATGAAGCTTTGAAAATCACTTTCTAGCTCCCACAACAGCACGAGCAACAGTAGCAAAATACTCTCAAAAATTTCTGTAATTTCAGTATTAACTCACACTTCCTCTCACGCAAGTTCGTCAAGGAAGAAAGCTGAAGAATTCTCACCTGAAACAACAATAACAGCAAAGGTAACGAAGAAGACAGAACCTACAGCAGAACAGGGAGAGAAAATGGAATTCTCCAGCTGATGCAAGGAATAGAGGAAGACAAAACACTGCTCAAAAGAAAAGAAAAAGACCAGAATCAGCGTTAATTTTAGCTCATGACCAGCACTACCAATTCCGACGACCTGATTCCTTCCAACCATTAGCAACGCGTGGACATATTTTACAAGAACAGAGCAACAGCCAGAATCGAGTAGAAGGAAGCATAACAAATTAAAAACATAGCTGAGAAACTTGACAGTAGCAACAGAAAGAAAAAGAAAAAAAAATCCCATAATCTGTACCTCGCTCAACTGAGACCGAACAAGGAAGCAAGATGAGTCACAGCTCTGTATAACGAACTGAAAGGAAGAAGAAGAAGAGAGAAGGTTCGCTGCACGACTCCAACGTGAGAAGAGCAAAAGACTTCCGGCGAACTCACAGCACTTGAGATGGACGAAAGACAAACGACAAGGAAGCTTGGAACGTTCGCACAGTTCATGGACAGCAAGATAAGGAAGAACGAAGCGAAAACAGGGGAGAACAACCAGTCACTGAACGTCTCCCATGGTGGATTTTTTCGCTCCCAAGGTCACCGTCGAGTAGTTTAACGACAGGGATGATGATAATGGGTGAAGGGCTGAACGAAAAGGGTTCGAAGTTTCTGGTGAAGTCTACAGCTCTCTTGACTCACGCACAAATCTGCTGGAGAAAGGAAAAGAGAAGGAATTATATCACAATGGGATAAGGACAATCTGGTAATTTCACATAGCAAAAAGAAGGAAAAATTTAATTCTTCATTTGGTCTCTTTTCGGATTCGAACTAGAGACTTGACATATGAAATCCTCCTCAGCTGCCACCGGATCAAGTCTCTAACTTGTTATATTTATTCCAAAAACTAATATAAACACACTTAAAGCAAGTTAACCTATATATGTATATATATATATTTATTTTTAATTTATTTAGGGTTATTACAGCAACTATGAACTATTTTTTATCCCCAAAACTACATATATAATATAAAATTATTTTACATATGCCTTGCAAACTTAATTTGCCAATGCATTGAGCAAATTAATTCTTGCCATATACATGCATACAAATGCGTTCAACTCTGAACTACTTTCTAGAAAGGCCATCAATGTGTGGTTTATTTTGCCAAATTAGCCCAAGATTTCTCAGACAAACGAACATATATCACTGAAGTACTTAGAGGATGTAATCCTCTCCTTTTGATAGATAAAAGTTGGGGTTTATCCCACGGTTGTTAATTTCTTACCCTGCGAGTCTTTTCTAGCTTTATCTAGCCTTCCCCAAAAAAAGAAAAAAAGAAAAAAAATAAGTTCATTCATGCCACACAAAATCTCTAGAGCCACAACCTTATTATATTTTTCCTCACATAGTATCGTGGCTGAGAAAACATGTAAGAGAGAAATTTATAGGATAACTCTGTAGTTGTTTATAATAATTAATTCATTAAAATAACTTTCAACATCCGGTGCTTTCCAAAAAAGGCTTTCCAGATGCAAAAATAATTAATAATTATTATTAATGTACTCCCTTTGATAAAAAAATATAAAGTATTTTTAATCAAATCTTACCCCCAAATAAAGTAATCACTTATCTTCAAATTAACAATATCTTTCCATGTTTAGCCCCATTTAATAGGGTGTTTCACTCTAAAATAAATATAAATTGATTTATTCAATAAGGGTACTTTTAAAAAAGTAATAATTACATTTTGAAATGCTAAAAATACCTAATATTTTTTTAACATTTAACCCCTCAAAAAATACCTTATATTTTTTAATGGTGGGAGTAATTGTTATGTTAATTAATTAATAATTATTATATTAATAATAATTAATAATTATATTTATTATAATTATAATAGCGTTGTACACATTAAAAGGACAAGCGGCAATGACTTTTAATTTGAAACGATATTTCCAAGAATAAGGAGGGGTTGGCATTATATTTCGATGTACAGGCATAGAGTTTTCTGGACAGTGTCAATTAGCTTAGCCTTCACTCCCCCTCTCACGTTTATTGTTTCCTCACGAATATTGGGATGATTAACACAAAAAGTCATTATTTGATGCCAATGAGATTGGGATTAAATAACTAAAATGATATTTTAAATATTTTAAGTTTCAAATTAAAATTTTAATTCTTCTTCGACGTAGATCTTGTGAACCACGTAGTTTCAAATTAACACAAAAAGACATCTCAAGCAAAGCAAACTGAACCAGGTAGATCTTCTTCGACGTTCTTGATTCCTTCAATCCTCCTTTAATAATTCTCTCCCCCCCCCCCCCCTCTCTCCCTCTCTCTCCCTGTTCATGCTTTTCAGTGCCTAGAATATGAGGTTTGAGAACTCAAATAAAGAGATCTTCACCCCAAAGAATACCTCCAAATCCCTCATCTTCTCCAATGGTCTTCATTCAAAAAATTTTGCTACTGCCAATTAGGTTAATATCGATGAAAATGCACTGATGAAATAATAAATGAAACACGAAATTTACTGACAAATGTCTCCTCTGAGAGGAGTCAAAAGACAAAATCCATAGAAGCACAAGAAAGCATTCTTTAAGAAATTGAACAACTTGCTGTTGAAGCTTATAGTATCTCCAAAGGCTCTGCTCCAACTTTTCTAGAGGAAACTTGGTGGAATGCGAGGTTGCTAAAATCAGAAACCCTGACACCACCTCTAAATATATGCTCAAGAATAGGCATAGGGTATGAAATAATACACCAAGGGTATAACTGGGAATGTCATAAATCAGGAAGATGGTACACGGAGCTGGAGGGGAAAGCTGCAGAGCTTGCATCCCTTGGCTTTACTATAATTTGGTTACGACCACCTATAGAATCTATTTCACTAGAACGATACATGCTACAGGATGTATGTTATTTGAATTCCAAGTACTGAATTAACATGCTGCTAGTATTCTAATAATATGTGTGCAGTGATGGCAACTATCTTTAATTTTTCAATTGATGGTTTCAATGTTAAAAAATTTGCTCACAGAATGTACTTGCTCTATGCTTCAAATTCAAATGTTTTAGTTCATCAGCAGTCACTCACTTGGATAGAAAACAATACCCTTTCAAGATTTGATTCAGTAAACTGAAGGAAGAAAAAATTAAAAGAAACTTTATACATATTTGTGAAAATTACTTTGTGCATATGGCATGTGACTATTTTATTACATATATCAAATGTGGAAGCATTGATGAACTGAAGGATTTAGTAAAAAGATTTCATGAAGTTAGGATCAAAGTTCTTGGAGATGCTGTTTTAAATCACCGTTGTGCCTACTAGAAGAATCATAATGGCATTTGGAACGTATTTGGAGGTCTAATCTGAATAATGCTCGACAAATGTGGCTTGTATGCCTTATTTTTCCACTAATAATATCATCAACCATGTTGTGACTTACCTCACTAAGATCTTTTTTGTTTATTTCTATTATATTTGCAGTCATTGCTCCTGGTTTTCATGCTTCATATCTTGAAGTTATGATCGAAGTATTCACAGCTTGCCCAGAAAGAATGAAATCAAAGTTCAACAAACTTCTTGAAGGAGCAGAAGGCAATAATGAATAGAAGTAAATTGAATTTTTCAGCACAGGGCCTGGAATTTTATGAATTCTTGAAAGAGCAGGGCAAGGAACTTCTATAATTTGCTGATGATGACAATATTGATGTGAGTATGCAACACAGTTCCTCTTTTATGTATCATTATTTTCTTGACCCATGAATTGAAATGTATATAGGCCTGTGGCGTATTTTTTAAAATTATTACATCTGAGTTGGAATACCTTTTTGTGTGTTTGTGGTTTAATGTTTTCTTCTTTTTTATTGTTCTCTACCTGTGTTAGAGAAGCTATGCTTCTGATCCTGTGGTAGTTGATTAGAATAGCAATAATATAGACATAATATTAGATATATGAGCACCAACATCTTTCATCCACATTCATTTATATTCAATTTCAATTATCATGATTGAAGCTCTTCATCTCTAAAGATAAAAGTAAGGAGGTGGATGAAAACTCAAGAAAGAGATCAAATACATTGAAAACTTTGATGCAACATTTGAGGAGATGCAACATTTGAAGAGAGTAGTAGTTGAGGCAATAGTGTAGGAGGTACCATTTGTTGCTATTTTTTGTTTTGTATTGGTGTTTAGGTGAGCTGAGAACTGGGTATAATTCTATGTATAAGCTTATTTTGTTTATGTCAGTTTCAAATGTGTAAAGTCAATAGTGTTTTCTTTCCTATATGCTTCAGTTTGGTTTGGTTAGAGGGCATCAAAGTTTGTTGTGAAGTTATCTTTTGTTCTCATCAACTTAGCCTGAGAATAGTTGCTTGGAGTAGCCTACCTCTATAGCTCTAGGTCCTTTTGTTTGTGTCATGTCATGGAACAATGCTAATGTTATCTTTTTTTTGTATCTTTGGGGTTATCTTTTGTAAGATTACTGTTTGTCCCTAATTGTTGAGGACTTCTAGCCCTCCCGCCTCTTGAACACTTATGTATTAAGTACTTTAGCACCTTTTAAAGTATTAATCAAAGTTATGGGTAGTTTCAGTTCTTTCTTCTCCACCTTTAAATGCCATAAATTTGGTTCACTTATCGAAGAGTTTTGCTTCTACGAGATCCAAAGAATGCCATGTAATTTAAAATTTTGCTGCTTCAATTTGTTTCTTTTCTTTATTTATACAAGGTCAGTTTGGTATAAATAAATTTCAAGCCATATATTGGTTCATCAAGGCTGTTTTACTCTTGTATTTTGAAGCTATTCATATACAGCTCGATGACACAAGTTCCTCATTTATTATTATTTTTTCAAGCTCTAAACCTGAGATTACACTCTTAGTAGGTAGTTAAAGACATGAACCTCATGATTCATTCATCTTTTTGGTTGAAGAAGCATAACCAACTGTGTGGGTTATCTATGGCATGTTGCTTTCTGACTTTTACGGTTTGTATCTTAGTGAATGTATTGACCAATGGGCAACTATTGTTGTATATTTTTTTCCTTTGTGTTTTTTTTTGTAAGTTCATATTCAAAACGTGGGGGTAATCTGATTTATGTTGCTCTTTTTTTTCTCTTTCTTTTTTGCCTTTTTCATTGCCCTTTTGGTATTTCATGATGTATGAGAAGTAATTCTTTCCTTTCTTTCAGTAGTGTTATTGTCACATGTGTTTTCTTCTCTTCTTTTTTCTTGCCGTGACCATGCCTTAGTAGTCATATGATTCTATTATATTTATTGCATTCTTTTTCTCTGTCATGCTTTATTGCTGAAATCATAGAATGGTGATTTGTATGATTTGCTACAAGATTTTTTTCTCAGCTTTCTTTGTCTTCCAGTAACAGCATGTGTTTCAATCTATGGTACCCTCTTAGATGCTTATTTGGAGCAAAAGTGTTGTGTGGACCACGAAAGTGCATATAAATCAAGGCTGATTTTTTTTTTTTAGGTAACACTATCATCGATACTTTTAGAATATGGTTGATCTCTTTCAGTAGTTAATTGTGGTATACATTTACTGTACCATATAGAATTAATTATATTCCATTTTTTAGTTATTTCTTGATTTTTTAGAGATCAAGTGTACTCTGTGCTCCATAAAATTTGTTTTTATGTTCAGTAGTGTTACTGTCACATGTGTTTTCTTCTCTTCCTTTTTCTCTGCAGTGACCATGCCTTAGTAATCATTTGATTTTATTATATTTATTTCAAACTTTTTCTCTGTCATGCTAAACTTGTTGCCAAAATCATTGAATGGTGATTTGTGTGATCTGCCACGATTTTTTTTCTCTCTTTTTTTCTTCCAATAGC